GAACCGTGGTAGATGCAAGCCCGTATTGGAAGAGAGGTGAATCTACGAGAGGAAATGGAATTTGACTTGTGAAGCAATTCAACTGCATCGGTAAACCACATGGTTCGTCTTACTATTCTGTGTATGTGTGTATGTTGAATATGAAACTTTTTAGTATCATGTCTAACGTTTGTGAAATATGTATTTGAAATTTATGGATTTATGTTCAATGTTTGTCGAATATATATTGGAACTTTTTACTTTTATGTTTATGGACTTCAAAATGTTTTTTATAGTGTTACTGGCAGCCTAACTGCGAAAATAAAAATATTGCAATATACGTCAATGAATCTGTTGCAATATATTCATGTCGTTAAACTGATAAAAAAGTGTTTGTCGGTAATCCGTTACAAAATTATTCTATTTGTAATCAATTACTAAAGATATTAGTTGGTAATCCGTTATAAATATGTTCCATGGGTATTCCATTACTACCAATGGTCGTCCATATATTGTTACGAATTTTATATGTTGGTAATTTGTTACTAACGTATTCCTTCGGTAATCCATGAATACTTATCCATGGAAAATATGTCGGTAAATTAGGTTGTATCTCAGAATTCCGTCGGTAAAAGTTACTAACAAGGATATACCGACGGAGTTGCATATGTGGAAAATCCATTGGTAAAACCCACAGTTACCGATTAGCGATAGTTTGGACCGTCGATATGACCATGTTTTGTAGCAGTAGTGTTAACTCTTAGCATTGAATATAAACTTCCCAAATAATCTTCTTTACAACGATTGTTTCCATTTTCCAGAAACGTAGACACTACATTATCTTACTTCCAATTGGTAATCTATGTGACGTAAAATGCATGTGTTTTCATGCACTGCTTGCTTCTCTTCTCTTCCCTGTGACTCGGTTTACCAAAAGATGAGAAGTGAGTGAAAATTAGATTTATGCAAATATATAACTTCTCCAAGTTTTCAACTTCAAATTTTGCCTCATATCTAGTAATTCATCAACATGTGTAATTTATATTTTCATAATACATTCAATAAACATGACATCTAACAATGATCACTTGTGTCGGGACTAAATAAATGTCAGCCCAAAACAATTCATGTTTGGTGATTTAGTCATTTGATATTTTGGGTAATTGGAATTTACATTAGTGTTACATGGATTTAGAATTAGATGTCACACAAGACCAAGACAAAGACCAAGACATGAAGTGCATGCTAGTGTAAGGTGAGTTTCATCCATACACAAAGAAAAGTGGGATCAAGCGGGTAGAAAAGGATAAGGGGTAAAGCCCACACAGACAAAATTAGAGCATCCGCTAATTGTCGGTTTAGGCCAAGTCAGAAGGGATTGGTTGTCGGTTGACCAACCTAGTGTGCTGGTTGTCGGTTAACCAGCCTAGTGTGATCCATACACAATAGCAAAATGAGCCTCAATCAAAATCAAAAACTGTTCATGTCAATTTTGTGGGTCGACCATCAGAAATTATGCCTAAGGGAGGAGGGAGTCGATGACGGTTTATGCAGTGGATTGAGCCGGTATTGCCGTTTTCTGATTCCGAGCAAAGGTGGGATGAGCGGGCAATCGACTGGGCAGGTTGGTAAACCCTCAAATCTTGAAGGCAATGGGTTCTCCCTAACTACTCTTTCTTTGTTGTAACATCCCGAATTTCAGAAATATGATTTAAGGGTTTAAAGTGTAATTTCGAAGAAGAGACTCGATGAGTATGTACGCTTACTCGCTGATTCGGAACGGGTTTAGGTCACGAATTAAGTGATCAACTCTCCGAGTCGGAAGCTGGACTCGACGAGTTGGTGCTAGAATGAGAAAAACCTAATCTTAGGGTTTGCACCCTATTTAAAGGACTTTGTGTCCTTCTCCCAGCCTCCTATTCCCCTAGAGAGTTTCAGAAAACCCTAATTTCGGGTGAGGCTTCATTGTTGAGGAGATTGGAGCTTGGAAGAGGAATTTGGTGGAAGGAGCTTGAGAAATTAGAAGCTAGCATCAAAGGGCTTGTATAGATCCGGGATCTACATCAGCTTGGGCGCATCTTAGAGGTAAGGAGCCATTATCTTAAGCTATTTCGTTTTTGGTTCATCCTTGGTGGTTGTTTTGGGAGTTCCTTAGCGTGTTGAGACCTATTTCGGGTTTGGAGTTTAGATATGAGTTTGGTACTCCAGATCTAGGCTTGTGATGGTCCATAATGTCATAAAGTTTATGTTTAAGGGTTTTTGGTGAAGCTCCTTAGTCCTTAACCTTAGCCATAGTGTGTTTTGGGCCTATATCTCCATGGTTTCACATAAAGTTTGCAACTTATGTTAGGGTTAGACTGTAGGAGAATGGATCTATGGTTTGGAGTCTCTACATGGCTCGAAAAGCCACTGGGTGGATTGAGAAGTGGAGAGACTCGGCGAGTCACATGGGTGTACTCGACGAGTTGTATGAACATGTGTATGGACTCGGCGAGTTGGAAGAACAACTCGGCGAGTCTGTTGAAGATTGCCTTGGACTCGGCGAGTCTGTTCTTGGAATCGGCGAGTCAGGACGCAGAACCCCAACCTCTTTTGGTTAAAGCCTTGGATTAAGGGAGTCGGTTGGCGACTCAGTGAGTTGGGCAGGATGGGACTCAGAGATCGTTGGACTCGGCGAGTCTTGGGGCGACTCGGCGAGTTAAGTTGTGCTACGAGAGTTTTTTGGGTATGGGAACTCGGCGAGTCGACGGGTTGACTCAGCGAGTAGAGTCAACCAGGAAGGTTGACTTTGACTGAGGACTTTTGACTTTGACCAAGAGTTGACCAGTTTGACTTCCAAGGGTACTTTGGTAATATTGGTATTTACGGAATTGGTTCTTTGGTAGTGTTATGTGGTGAAGATTGTGTCAGTGGTCGGGGCAGCTTGGTCTTATCTTTTCAGTCGGCAATTGCAGGTGAGTTATCCTCACTATACTAAGGGTTCTAAGGCACCAAGGCCGGCCCATTGGATATGTTATCCTAGCAGTGTTAGATGTTGAGTCTTCGTAGTGTTGCATGCTAGTGGTTATGTCAATTAGGTAGATCTGTAGGTCTACCTGTGTTGTTATATGATTATCTGCATGCTCAGTAGTTATGTTATTTATTGACATGTTATGTGCGATGGGTTGAGGTTGTATTGCTTCGTGCGGTAGCCAACAAACCCTAGAGTATTCTAGATATGAGCCGAGGGCCTGGTAGGCATTCCAGACTCATACTGAGGACTCGAGAGTATTCCAGATATAAGCTGAGGGCCTAGTAGGCATTCCAGACTCATACTGAGGACTCGCGAGCATTCCAGATACGAGCTGAGGGCCCGGTAGGCATTCCAAACTCGTACTGTGGGCTCGGAAGCATTCCAGTTACGGGCTATGGGAGACCCGTATTGTGGGCTCGGGAGCATTCTAGTTACGGGCCAAGGGAGACTCGTAATGTGGGCTCGTGGGTATTACAGTCAGTAGGGTTGTGGACCCATTATGTGTTGTTCTGTTCAGGTTGTTATGATATGTTATTGTTGACGCGGTTATATGGATTGTATGTGTATCGGTATTTTGGGGGTAACTCACTAAGCTTTCAGGCTTACAGTTCAGTGTTTTGTTTCAGGTACTTCAGGAGATCGTGGCAAGGCGAAAGCTTGATCGTACAGCTCCTCCTATTATGTTTATGTTTATGGGAAAGCTCTGATAATTAATATTTTGAAAACAAAGTTGTAATGTTTTGATGAACTTGACATGTTTTATAAAGTTTAAATTGGTTTGAAATTTTTGGTGTTACATTTGTACTCTCTTCTCTACTCTTGTTGTCTTTTCCTATCTACTTTTTCCCTGTACTCTTTATACATACACATATTAATGGAGTGGGGTAGTTTTTAAAAATGGTATATACTTCAAGATTTCAAGTTGTACGGATAGTGATGGAGCCGACTGTTTTTGGGAAATGATGGGTCTAGGGTTGCAAGCGATTGAAAAAATATATAAATTGGGAAGTGATTCGTACACAACAGTTTTTTGCCATTCACAACAATTCATGCATTATATAGTTGTATAATACAACATTTTAAAGCACCGATTGTTGTGTATGGAGAAAAATTGTTATGTAGGGATCAGCTCCCATATAAATTAGTTCAAATTTCATTTTAGACCCTATAGTTTATAGATGTTATTAAAACATACTTATTTGTTTTCAATCATATCTTTTTAACTAAATTGTACATAACGTCTTTAAAATGATATATACTTGGAATATTTCAAATAATCTATATTTATTTTACAATTCATTAAATAATATTTGTTTTAATTAAATACTACTTTTGATTTTTTATTATTTTTGTTTTCAATTAGCAAAAATTTATTTTTAAAGAAAAAAAATGTAACATTTTATTTTATTTTATATTTTCTGATTTAATCAAATAAAAAATAATGATGTGACAACTGACAAATGGGTTGGATGGGTGGGAAAGATAGGATTTTCATGTGTTGTGAGTTGGAAAATATGAAAAAGATGAGAAAAAGAAAAAATGATATGAAGCTGATGTGGCAGTGGTTTGAGTGGATTCGAAGGGAATGACTCCCTCCTTCCTAAGCCGAAAACTGACCATATGAGTTTCTACATGTGGCTTAAGGCTAAGCTACCCATGTTAGTTAGATTGTGCGAACTTTGATTGTTGAGAACCATTAACCGTTGTTTATCATCCTTATCCACTTTGTGGTTATCTGTCTCATTACATACCATGTTTTTGCTCTGTTTTGTTCTTTGGCCTAACACTTGAAGTGACATTCTTGTGGATTAATATGTGTATATCATTTTGGGACACTCGCACATAGGGTCAAAACTCAAAAAAGAAATTTAAGAAAGTAAACTTACAGGCTCCTCAAGATATCTGGATCACGGACCATCATAAACATCCTATATGACCTCCCCTGTTTTTTTCTTTTAACAAATTGGCATGTTTTGATATGCATTTTCTACCAACATTAAATATATTTGTCATGCTTCGTATTTAAACTTAAAGAGTATGGGTTGACATAATTTAAGAAAAGTGTTGGGACAATGCGAATTTTAAAAATTCAAAATACCACTCAACCAATTACGTCTAAGAATCATGATAAAAACAATTCTGCAATTTTGGATGAATACAACGAGGAAACAAATTGGGTACTAGAAGTACATAACCAAACAAGGACACGACTACCATGGTTTTCAAATGAATAGAATAATGGTTGAAGTTATCATAATCTTGTCTGATAATTCTCGATGTTGTACCTGGAAGCAAACACAATCTAAACATGTAATCCAACACAAGAATTCACGTCACCATGAAGAATAATACATCTGAAATCCATGAATCAAAAGCCATAAATGCCTAAAAAGCAGTTATAGGAAATGAGGACGGCATGAAAATAGAACTTACCTTTAAATTTTACTTTACTTTAAAAGTCGGTTGCTTTTGAATTCCTGCATAAAATATATAAAAATATTGAGTTGAAATATAGAGAACAGTTGGTGCTTCTGCGTTCTGACAATAGCAAAAACTTCCATGACAAATTTTTTAAGTAGTTTAGGAATGATTAAAGCAAGAAACCTATACCAACCTCCTGTCTGGTCTTTATAAAAAAGTTGATACCTTCCCCTGCATAAAACGAGCCAAAACTTGTTTCTATCTCTCTAAGCTCCGGAGTAGCAGAACTTCCTTGGGTGAAAACCGTTAATTGTTGGCATCTATTGATTTTCAGAGTATCCAGTAATGGCAGTGAAAAATCCACATTCCATAAGCAAAATCCCTTCAGACATGGAAGTTGGTCAAGTATTAAGGACCTTAAACAAGGTAACTCAATCTTCTTCATTTTGCCATCAGATTCTTCTTCTGCAACTAAATTTGTGTCCTTAACGATTATCTCCCCCATATGATCGCAGTTTTTTATGTGTAGCTCTTGGAGTTGCAATAGACTAGTAACCATGGATCTTGTGAAAACATGCTCTAACTTGTCACATCCATGAATAGAGACTGTTGTTAGGTTTCCAAACTTGAATACTGTCCACTGATTGCTATTCCACATATTCCTTAGACCATCTACCCATGCTAAACTCACTTCTGTTAGGTTTGGAAGTTCCACAACAACAGTTTGTGATTCATCCAAACCACCACTTGTCCCTTCCAAAGCTTCAAATACCTCCTCTACTCCATGACAGTAGCTTACATGTATCTTTTCCAGATTTTGAAGTTGTTGCAACTCATTGGATGGAATAATCTTTTCTAAAGATATGTTAGATTTCAAATCTAATTCGATCAAATTATGAAAAGACCAAGGTAACCCTTCTGCAGTAGCAGTGCAAGAGCTTGTAGCTTCTAAACTTGGGACTGGGGTCTGCAAGCCCGGTAAAGAAATTATAAGGCATATATATATATATATATATATATATATATATATATATATATATATATATATATATATATATATATATATATATATATATATAAAACCAAAAAAACAATTGAAATGTCATATGTTGTACTTTTAATGAAATGGAAGAGTACTAATTAATAAAGACGACACGCGAGCACCAATGAAGACACATTTTAATTATTAATTATGATGATAATCAACTCCAACTAAGCGTTTCTATAGGCTTACTATTTTTTATCTCATAAAGTAAGATAGATATGTAAGGTTTGTTTGGAGCAGAATGGAAATTTTTTATTCAAGCCACAAGCCAAAATTTTATTCAAACTAGTATCAATTTGTTTATTACTTTTACTTGGTATGCAAAAAATTAAAGATTATACCTGATGATGTGTAGTGGTTGTCACATCAAAGTTAAGACCACATTTGTCAAGACTGTGTTTGCCCAAGCTTCTGCGTATATACTTGAGGCCCGGGGCTAACGATTGACCAACTGTGAATGCTATCATTTGTGGGCAGCCCTTAATCGTAACATCATCCAATGAAGGCCATTGGAACTCATTCATTCCCAAGAAGAAACCCACAAGGTTTGGTAGATTGACCAGTGCAATGGACTTTAGAGAAGGAAATACTACATTACCGGATGGGGTTGCTTGCTCTCCATTTTCTTCCTTCACAATCACTTTCACTGCTTTGCAATCCCAAATAGTTAGCTCTTCGAGGCTCCAGAGGCTTTCAAGTGTGGAAAATGTGAATATATGCTCCAAAAGGTCACAATCTTTGATTTCCAATACCCTTAGCATGGGAAGTTTGAGCACGGTAACATAATTTGGTCCTTGTTTTGATGAAGTACCACTATTTCCATCGTCAATGCTGCTACTTCCACAACCAGTGGTGGTATTGTTCATCCCTTGACTTTCAAATACCTCCTTCATCGAGTCACAACGTGTTATTCTCAACACTTGAAGCATTTGCATTTGTCCTAGCGCATAACACGGAATCGCACTTGACAACACATCACAGTATGATATACTTATCTCTTTAGAGTATTGACATAAGGTCCAAGAAACACCACCGACTTGAGGAAACTGCAGCACATAAAATTCGTGTAAATTTAAAAATTATACTTGAAACTAGTGCTCTCCGCATCAAAAAACAATTTGTCAGGATTTATTAAAGAGAAAACAAACGATACACGGCTCTACAACCGAAAATACTGGAATGAAAAATCAATGAAGTTGAGAAAGCATATGCTTATAACAAGAAGCTTAAACAAGTTCCATGTTTTCTACTTTATGACGAATTCAATGATGAACTGTTTTGGGTAAGATTATAAGTTGCTGAAATTTTTTGCATAAATTAACGCAAACCTAATTATACAAAGAAAAGTTTCAATCTCTTGCATGTGATTTCATGAATTTTCTAGAACATCGCAAAGAAAAAATGGATATTAAATAAGAAATGAAATAAGCTGTTAAATATGTAGTATGTACCTTAGATTGATCAAGAAAGTCGGCAGTTATACTAGTATTTTCAAAAGAAAACTCATTGCTCCCACAATTTGCACCATCACCAATACACTTGAGATTTGGAAGGAAACTAAGAGTGAGAGAATCAAGACAAGGATACACAGTGGTATTTATCTGGGTAGACGCAGAGGTAGTCTTTTCTTCATCTTTATGGTCTCTGTTTGAAACAACTTCTTCAATACCATCACAGTCTTGTATCTGGAGTTTCTTTAAGTTGGAAAAAAGCTTTGCCATGAGAGGGGAAAACAAGTACTTAATGCTTTCACACTCCTTCAAATATATGGTTGTGAGGTTGTGGAATGGGGATTCTGAGTGTTGTTTTGGAAGAATGGAGAATTTATTCCAGTTGCACTTCCATACATGGCTCATCCTTTCCAAGTGTATTATATCCAAATTCTCTAGGTAGGGAAGCATTCGTTGTTGATAATCTTGAGCTGTGACCAATTCTCCATGTTCTGGACTCTCTATCTCTATCTCAAACACCACCTCCGGAACTCCTTCCCAATTCGATAAGGAAAGTCCACGGAGGTTATGAAAAGAGTGGGCGAGATACGATGGAAATACAGCATCTGAAATATTATTATTAATTCCTGGAAGATTATTCTGCACAAAAAATGTAATTAGTAACTTTGGTCGGTTAAAATTGAATTACATTAAAGAATTATAAATGCACATTCCTTGAGAATTATGTTTTGCGATTATATAATTGAGAGATTAATTTGATTTTAGATCATTTCTAAAGTAACATTTGGAAATAGACGAAAAATAGTTTATTTTTGCTTTCAAATAAATGCGCATTTTGATAACTAAACATAACAATATTAAGGCATGAGAAGGGCTAAAGAATTCATGAATACAAAACCACAGAGGCACATACCTAATTCGGTGTGCTTGTCAAAACTCAGAAGGTCTAATGTTTCCTTTCTAACAAAAAGTTTATAAAATTTTTTAAATAATATAGGATGAAAAGCTGTGATCGGCTCCCATGCAGCAAGCAAAATTTGGAGATTAAGTAATTACGAATTGATTAATTAAAAATGTGAAATCTTTTCAAGCAGAAGACAAAGTTTTGCAAGTAATTTGGTTAATAAGCAGGTGTTGTTAAGTAATGGTCACACAGGATAGCAACATATCTTTTTGTTGATATGATGTAGGTCGCTCAATTATTTTATGAGAAGTCAAATATCCTCCTACCATCTTCCTATACATTTAAGATTGTGACACTTGTCATATTTAATAAAATTAATAAATTTTTATTGCACTTGTCGTCATCTAAAAGTAGTAGGAGGATATAGGACTCCATGTTTTCAAGTATCGATGTTTTTGAACATGACATTCACTTGTAGACCTCATCATAATAAAAAATAAAAAAAATGAAGTATTCAAACTTGGACATCACAATTAAAAAAAACAACATTACTAACAGAGTCATTTCTTGAATAAATATTGCAATATAGGTATCATATAATCAATTGCTTGCAAAACACAACTTTTTATTTATCACTTTAATTTTTTATTAATTTGTAATCACTTTTATGAGAAAAAAATATATATACATAGTTCTTGATCAAATGTCGTTTTTTGTAAGTTTTACTTATTTCATTAATTGCCTTTTTTGAGCCGGTTAACTTTTCATAAAAATTGACATTTATAGTTGTTATATTTTTAAATTAGTTATGTTCATAAGACAAGATAACAATATGTTATAATTATGACGATTTGTAAACTGAACGTTGGTTTGATGGAATAAGTGCCTTAAGAAAATAAAACTGGTTTTGTGTATATGCAGTTATAATTTACAAAAAAATAATAATAATAATAGTTACGTTAATAAATGGCTCGTTAAGCATCTTATAAATGCATTGCAACATTAACTCAAGAAATGTTTGTAGCTTAGTGTTTACTGTTCAGTAATGTTTACTTTCAAATCTGATGCCAAACTTTTAGTCGTTTCACCTTTCCACCCCTTTTTATTTAGTTTTGATGTGCAAAGTGCAAGTGTAGAATGTAGATGACACGTCACCATACATAAAAACAAAAGGTAGCATGTATCTTAACCCTTAATTAATTGAGTAGAAAAAGGAAGGCATACCTCTTCCTCTTGGCTATAATCCACTGATTCATTGTTTCTCCCGCTCTCTCCACAATCACTTATATTCATGTGGACAAGTGCACCCAGATCAAAATTGGTGCTGACAGGTGTGAAGACATTCGTAAAGCTCTTGCATCTCTCAATTTGTATGTTTTCAACAGCTTGAAAGCCACGGATGAGAAGAAGAGACTTATTTTCAGCTTTTATCCTCCACACCTCCCTTAGCTTGCCTAATTCCTTCATCTGAATGCTTCTCAAGTTGCTAGTGCTGCCTTTTCCAACTCCACCAGCAAAATCCAAGTCGATGTTGAATAACACTTCAACAGAACCACAATCCTCGACTCGAAGCTCTTCAAGATGATGCAGCAATAGAATGGGATTGCACGGAAACAGATTCGTAAGATTGTCACAGCATTTCACTTCAATCTCTCTCAGCTTAACTTCCCCACTCGTATCAAATTCGTAAGGCCATATCTCCTTCAGATTCTCCATATTAAAAACAACCAATCTCTCTAACTTAGGAATCACAACCTGAAAATGAATAAATGCTTTCTTCATGATTTCATCCAAACAATAAGTCATACAATCAAATTCTAAATGACTTTTTTTTTCTTCTGAAAATTCCACTGGTTATTTAGCATAAAACAAAATGTGAATGCAACCTTTTAACTGAACAGATTGTTTGAATCGCATTTAACATAAAAATAGAATATTACCTCTTCCTTCAACAAACAAGATGTTGCCGACTTATTCTTGGGGTAAATGCTTGTGAAATTTGCAAGGCCATCAAGTTCCAACGTCACTAGTTGTGGCAGCTCAACTATGTGGCCATTATGGCACAAACCAGATAGATTTGGTAGCCAAACCAAAGATAGAAACTTAAGCTTTGGCAATGTAACTGTCTCTACTCCAATGCTCTCAATATGTATGAGTTCTTCCATATTATCGCTTGAAGAAACTTGAAGATGCTCAAGCTTTGACAGAGCCTTTGCAACTCCAAGTGTGAAAAGGTATTTCAACTCTTCACACCTCGAAACGACAAGGACTCTTACATTGTTGAACGAAGAGAATAGATGAGGATGTGAGCACTTCACCTCAAAATCTTCAAGATCATTCATATCACCCACACTTAAACAAAGCACGTCAGTTTTCTCAAACAACTCATTCATTCTAGAATCCAGTACTTCACCTTTGTTGGTCACCAGCTGCAAAGTGTTTTCATATGTGCGGCTGCTCCTACTGAGTTCTCCATCTAAAGAACGTCCCACTGAGATCTTGAATCGTTCAAGCTTCTCAAACGACATATTCTTCGGTTGAGCATTGTTCCGAAAGAACTCAAATTCTAATGCAGAAAGATTTCTTGATCGTTTTGCAATTTCATTACAATTATCATTTGTGAAGCTTATGGCTTTTCCATAACGACCACCGGCCATCGTGTAAAGCTCTTCAAGTTCAACCAAATTTTCAAAGACACCATTATCTATACGAAGACCAGCACAACCTGTCAAATCTAGTAGCCTCAGTTTCACCAAATTTCCGATGGTGTAAGGTAACCATTCAATGCCAGAATTAGCAAAACTGAGTACTTGGAGATTCAACAGATTTCCGATAGAAGAGCAATCAAACATCAACGAACACCGATGGAGATGAAGCACTCGAAGGTTGGTGGAGCATTGGGATGCTGAGGGAAGTAATGGATATTGTATTTCATCGTATGATATTACCTCAAGCTTTTCCATTTCTCTGTAAAAGTCTTGAGGGAACCTTAATGACTTATCACCACGCATAAGCTTCAAAATGGAGAGGTTCGGAAACCTGAGGTCTCTAGGAAACTCAGACATATCGTTGCATGTTAATGAAATTCTTTTGCAAGAGTCGCCTACATCATTGGGCCACCACTTTGACATACTACCATGGTTGACAATCGAAGCATGCTCGACTCTAGAAAGCATATCCAAAACAAAAGCACGAACGAGATCATGCATCCTAACACACCCCACATCATTGCTTTCGGTCAACAAACTTGTATGCAGGAGCCGCTCAATGCATGTGTTCAGCCTGTTTCTTGCTTCTCTTAAAGTAGACACTCCGGTAAACACTTTCAATCCCCATCCGTACCTCACCAAATCCTCAGTAGAAATATTGAAGTCTTTAGGAAACAAACCGCAAAGCAAAAATATAGATTCAGTCTCCTCGTCTTTGAGATTCTTGTAGCTAATCTTAAAAACTTCATGAACAACATTGTGGATGTGATGGTGGTCTAAACAAAAAAGTGCATCCTTCCATGCATCCTTGGCTTTATTTCTAAGAGTAAGGGCCAAGGTTTTGATGGCGATGGGTAAACCGCAACACTTCCTTACGATATGCTTTCCCATCTTACGGAGCTCCGGATCAGCATCATTAGAAATTTCTACAAGTCGCCAAAATAAACTATGTGCTTCTGCTTCTGTTATGACTTGTACATTGAAAATTGAATTAGCTCCAGCTCCCATCATAGTGCAAACATGTCTGTTTTGTGATGTCAACAAGACCTTGATGCCGACACCATGATTTGGCAAAGGACTTAAACCAATGTCATTTAGATCAACCGCCTCCCATGCATCGTCGAATATTATTAGAATATTATATTTAGGCGAACAGGCCTCAAACCATTTACGAAGCTTATCAGCTCTTGCTGATTTACCTGTTTCATTGAGCTTTATACCAAGGTGGTCTGCAACAGTTTGCTGAATAGCAATTGGGTCCGCCTTTTCCCCTAGACAAGACTTAATAATACAATCAAACATTTTCTTTTCTTCCACAGCCTTTGTCAGCCTTTCCATTAATGTGGTCTTCCCCACTCCGCCAATCCCCCACAAGGCTATCATGTGGGATTTGTGGTCTGATCCGAGTGCTTTTAGTGCTTCCATATAAATATGTTCTCTCGATACGAAATCGTTGTGATCACTTGATGATGCAGAGGTGGAAACATTCATGGTACCAGCTCTTTCTAGAGGAACTGGATCATCAGTCCACCTGATTAAAGAGTGGTGTTTTTTGACCGTTTCTATTTCCACAATCATCTTGAAAAATCTCCTTCCATGCTTGTGCCTACGCCAGAGACTAGAACTGCTGAAATCTTTAGGAAAGTGTCCCACTCTTGCAGTGATCCTTTCTACTTCTTGCAACCAACCCGACACTTCGTCTGGAACCTCAAGCATGCTTATTGTGTTCCTGTTCATGCGGTCTGCTACGGCGACTCTCAGACCATCTAATTCCATCAATCTAGTGTGCATATCCTTCATATACTTTTTGCAGAAAATTATGTCGCTTAGGTGATTCATGATGGGAACCAAGAGCATATGAGCATATGGGTTAAGGATATCCTCCATTACTCAATAATAGTCTTACTTTAAGAAGCCCCTACATATCGAGAAGCAAACAAATTAACAAAGAATTCAATAGTACGATGCCCATCTATAAATGACCAATTACATGCATGCTAGATTCATTTAATTACGTATGGTCGTTACATGTAAAAAGAATCTATCTCATAATCTAAAATGAATTTAAAGATAACCTTTTGACATCATAAAGAAGATTGCAGATGTGGTCATTTTTATCTACCATTTAGAATCAAATTTCTTTATATTAAATTTTAAAAAACTTAGGAAGATGTAAAATCCTAATAGCAAAAACGATACAATAACCAACTTTTTTTAACATTTGATATAAAACATCATATAAAATGGCAAATGAATTGTATGTTTGTTACAATAAATGGTAGAAAATGGTTGTTTGTTACACTAAACCAAGGTTGTCAAGATCCAGATCGTACCTAGGATCATTTTTCATTTTGCCAGATTATAATCATAAGATCCCACCAAAGTGAAATACTTATCGGTTTAAAATTGAAATTACATCTCTATCTACCTATATAAGTTTGGAACATAGTGACAAGTTTGAAGTTAGATTATGTCTAGACATTTGGTACCGTAGTTGAAAAGTTAATTGCTACCTTATAGCTGAAAAGCTAGCTGATAAAAAATGATGCTTGGTAAAAAACTAGCTGTTAAGCGAGCTAGGAAATGCAAAATAATATAGAAGGGCATGTAGATTAATGATTTAATATATTAAGACAAATACGTAATACATTTCATTAAATTAAAGTACTAACTAACAACTCTCTCATTATTTATGTTTAGGTGAAATTTCTTCAGTCATATATCATATTCAGACCAATTTCTCACATCTCAGGGTTTGACTCTCGATGTTATCATAACTTTTGCTTAATTGATGTGAATGTGATTTATAAAATATTCATATAAAACCTAAATATTTAAAATCATTATTAAAGAAGTTCATGTTGAAACGTTTGAATTGATACAAATATCGTACAAATAAATCACCATTTGTTTATTTAACAATAAACTAATTGTATATCATAACTAATTACTTATGTGCTTAACGAATTAGTCTAATTTTTAGAATATTATAAAAAAAATGAACGAAGTGATATTTTTATACATCATAGAAGGTTAATTTAACTTATGTCGGTTTACATGTCATCAACAATGATGAGAGTTTTACCCTTTCAAAAAAAAAAAAAAAAAAACAATGATGATAGTTTTTTTATTTTTTTAAGGGGAACTTTCCTAACCAAGGCTTCAAGGCCAGCTTTCACGAACCAAGTAATCCCCAGTTGTGAACATGAGACTATGCCTCATCTCCTGGGGAGTCCCTACATGCAAACCTCCATGGCCACAGGGGCTGAATAGTGTCCCGATTTGAACATTGGTCAAGTGGTGAACAATGATGATAGTTGATAAAATAAACTCTTATTTTTGCAACCTATAGTTTTAAAAAGTTACCTTTTTTCTTTGCAAAACTATTGCAAGGAGAAGATAGACAAATATTTAAAAAAAAAAAAAAAAAAAAAAAAAAAAAAAAAAAAGACAAAGTAAAAATGATGAACAATTAGTTTTATTCTTGAATAAATGTTATATTCATAAGCTCATTGAAACTCTAGTCGGAGTAACTTTATGTTCAGCGCCTGGGACTTTGGCTACAAGAAGCATTAGCGCTTTAGGGCACTTTATGCTTTTTAAAACTAAGGCATGTAGGTGTCTCACGAGAAAAGAAGTAGGGACTACGTAAAGTAGTTTTTATTTAACAGAATTTGTGTTGTATTATTAGCTGTTGAGAGAGTATTTTAAGCATTCCGCTTTTGTTGTATTAAACCATGATGAAATAAAAGGTATCTAAGTTTTGAAATGAAATCTCCCAGTTGTATATATAATGAAGCATAATACCCGTTTGAATGGGGCGTCACATAGGATCATATGATCCTTAAGAGCTCGATTTTGACAACCTCGCACTAAACAATTAAAAAAAACATGCTGCTAGAATTGACAAATCTTGAAAGCATCTTGCATTTTTTGCAATTCACCCAAACGTAGAACGGCTTAAATAGTTTGAAAAGTGGACAAAGTATATTCAAATCTGTACAAATTTCTATATTGTTAGAAATCTAAGATTATTATTTTACTACCGTAATTTTTAATTATTTTATTGGAGATCAATGTGATTTGCAACTATACCTTTGAGATCTGAAGTAAACGAACACTTGCCCAAGTATGCTGAAAAAAGAAAATAATTATTTACATGAGAACTTTTATACATTGGAATTGTAAATACAAAATAATAACAAGAGTTGAATACATTTTTTTTATATAAATAATGATACAATTATATTTAATCTTTAATAACGAAAACCAATTAATTCACTCTGATTTTGATTTCACTATGTTACCAAATCAACAGGACTATAGGATGTGCATCTGCTTTATCAATAGGGGGAAAAGATATTGATCAGAAAGAACCAATTGAGTATATTGACAATCATCAAGCCCCCGTACAAATGAATGCATATATTTAGCAAAAGCTAATCATGAACTAGATAACAGAAAATCAAAAACCAGAGAAAGTACTAGGGTTTACAATCAGACCTAAGTCAATAGAAATTATTTTTGCAAGCCTAACAATCAGATGAACAGATGCTTCGAGACAAATAAGATCCAACAAGATATCCTCCATTTCATGATTGAAAAACAAGTTGTTCGTTGTACCACGCGCAACCGGAAAACGAAAAAGAAAAGGAGAGTATAGAAACTATAAGGAACCTGATGTCAAATGCTTTTACCAAATTAGAAGAGCAGTTTCCTCGAAGGTTGGTCAACTATATTCGGATTACAGTCAGGGACGACTAGCGACAAGGAGGTGTTGCGGTGGCGAGGAACTGGGGAGAACGGGTGCTGCTCGGACCGGCGAGTTTGGAGCGAAAATATAAAAGGGCAAATATGGCCCATCTAATCCCTAAACCTTCGCCTTTTGCATAAAGCTTCGCCTTTTCATTCACCCACTGATAAAGTGATAAGGGGAGAAAAACTTAGCGGGTAATTATTTTGATAGTTTTGTTTATATTTAAGTACTTTTTTTATTTTATATACATTTTACAATTTAATTTTGTTATTGATACTGACGGTGCTAATATTTAATATGTAATCAAATTAATAAGTCAAATAATTAAATATATACAAAAAAAATAAAAATTGTCTAAATGTGAACAATCCGACAAATTAATTACACTGATAAGTCATTCTCCCCACTTTTAATACCAATTTTATTTTTCATATTTGTTATTATTTTTTTTTTCAAACGTTATAAGCAAAGTTTAAAGCATTGTATTTTTATATTTAACAGGTATGAATCAAGATCAATCAATATAAACTTTATAAGAAATCAGTGGTACTTACTTGGATGCATTAGCTTTAAGGAAGATGATGTCATGTTCTTGATTCCTTTTCTTCCCATAATGGTGCCTTTCTAATTTTCTGATGGAGAGATGGGATGTCCTAACATACACGATCTTGGTGTTTATAAGGAGTCAGATCATAGTATGAGATCTCTTCAAATTCCTCCATATCGTCCGGCATTAAATTCATTAGTTGCACCATATGGAAAAGAGATTGGAACCACACAAATTTGATCCCTCAAGTTATAGACAATTGTCATATCCATCATACTACAAATATTAAAGTCTAAGGACCTGATATGTCAATATGGCAAACGTTATGGTACACAATATAGATGTACCTTACATGTAATAAGAATTACAAAATAGTCCTAAGGCCACATTAATGTGTTATTTTCCAACATTCTTCCACTTGGCCGAGTGACTATTTGTATACATGTTTCATTATTTGGCCAAGATAAGTTCATCATGTTTCATATTAATACCAAAAGTAGAAAAGTACGGCCTGAAGCATCATTTTCGATACGAGACTCCCACCGATCATACTATGGTACTTCATATGAAGCTTACGATTAATTTAAGTCATATGAATTTAGATTTAAGTGGTCATGCATTATATTTGTCTATATAAAAAGTAATTGTGCACAAGTTATGAATATAGACAAATTGCATTTTATGGAGGAATAATAATCAAGTACTTGAATAAATAAAATTAAAATTAAAAGTTCCATTAAAGCACTATGCTAGAATAATAGGTGTATATTTAAACCCATGTTGACGACATGTTCACATAATTGGGTGGTAGACCTTTCATTAACGGATCCGCTAGCATATTTTTAGTGTCAATGTGTTCGATACAAATATTATTTCCCCCACTTGCTCTTAAACGAGCAAATATTTTGTATCGAGGTAAAGCTTCATTCCACTATAATTATTGCTAATGGAAAACCTATAGAGGCAACATTATTGCAATACATTTTCTTTTAATGGCCTATAAATGGAGTTTATGATCATGAGTCATGTGGTTTAATTTCTCAACAACATTTCATGGAATGTTTCATTATCTATGAAATCAAATTTCTCCATAGTTGATATAGTCGTCAATGTTTAGTTATAACTCTCCCATGATATTGGCCGACAAATAGTACACCAATGTATCGTACTAATGACTACTTATCTTTGCATTTTGTAAAGACATAACCAAGAAACATATCACTTATATGTTATTACTTATTTCACTAAACACGTTTGCCATTATTAGTCCCATGAAAATATTATAAAATTCTATTGGCAGCTTCCTAGTGATTTAGACCATGATTTAATGATAACGGCTAAGCATGTCACCGAAAATATGTACCTTAAATGTGGAAGGAACTGAAAGGAAGTATTGTTGCATTTTATATTGACTTACTACACATTAACTATATGTATTTAGGGACATGTCTAAAGCCCTTTGGATTCCTCGATGCATTTATATGCCTATTGCATATTAGGCTTCACCAAGATCCTTTATATCGAGGTGATGTGACAATAAATGTTTCGATTTAT